CTGGTCTTCGGGTCTCTGCCATACATGCCATGGGGCACATGTGCAGGCATGCACATATGTGTGGGGGATGGGGTGCATGCACAGGGATGCATATGCATTATCAGAGTTTGATGCAAAATCAAATCCAGAAAGCACACATAGGTAGACTTTATATACATAATAATACATGAAGTAAATTTACAATACCAACAGCAGATTTCTTCCAACCTGGTAGCAATTACAAGCAAAGCACAAGGCAGAAGAGCAGTTAGTTTCATTTCAGCAGAGCAGACTAGTTTCAATTTCTCTGCGCAGACTCAGAAGCTGCACACTAAGACACACCCTGGCTCTAGTCTGTCTCAGCTCCCAAACAGCCCGTGTTACCATGTCCTATTCCAGTTGATGAATATACTCTGACACTCTTCCCTTCATAATTGGAATAGAAATAAGATTGAATAATTTAATATTCTTCCCAGACCTGTATTTGAAAACCCACATTCACAGTTCCTGTCAGATCTGTGTATCTGCCATTCTTCATGGAAGAAGGGGAGAGGGGATTTGGAGTGTCACATTTAGTTCTTTGCCTATCTATCCTAAGTATCCAATTTCTTGCCTGATCCTCTTTGTATAAACTTTACCCTGATTTATAACCATTGCCTGGCACCAGGAATCCCTGAAGAAATCTCACACCTCAGGAAAAAGGGGGGAACGAGTGGATTGTAAAATGACCCTGAGAAACTCTTCATATCTGTTTCTCAGATGCAATTCGTATTCACACCGGCGGATTGGTTGGAATCCACATCAGAAGGTGGGCAGAGTTCCTTATTTCCTTTATCCTGAGCTGCATGCCCTGAGGGACCCCAGAGCCTGCTTTGAGTTTTGACTTGCTTTCATCCCTTTCAATAAAATTTCTTTTGAAATACAAAGTTCTCAAGAGTTCGTACTTTCTTGGAAGGTGGGGAGAAGCTGGTCCTTATAGTTTCCTTCAAATACCTGAGAACTCTTTTTACTGTGATACATCCTTTGCAATGAAACAAAGATTATCCACAAATGCTAATAGTTGACAATCGCCACCTTGTAACTTTCCAGTGTATATGCAACCACCATCCTTGCAACTCTTGAACCCAAGACCCTTCAATGTCCTTCCAATGATATTCCAATTCCTGGTTGACTGCTTCAGCCCATAAATGGCCTTGTTCAATTTATACACCATGTTAGGCCTTTTACTTTCATACCCTGGTGCTTGAACCATGTAAATTCCCTCCTCTAATTCTGCATTGAGGAATGCAGTGGTTATGTCAAAATGCCAAATTTTATGGCCATGTGCCACTGCCAATGCTAGTGCAAGCCTTATGCTTTCTCTCTTTACTGTTGGCGCAAATATCTCATCGTAATGCACATTTTTCATCTGTGAAAAACCTTGTGCCACTAACCTTGCTTTATATTATATCTCATTATTGGGTAGTACTTTCTTCTTGTATACCCACTTACATCCTATGGCTTTGCTACCCTGTGGCAAAGTCATAGATGTGAACACTTTATGTTCATCCATGGATTTTATTTCCTTGTCCATGGCTTCTTTCCACTTTACTTGTTCAAATTTAGGTAATGCCAATACTTCCTTATAGTTCCTTGGCTCATACCATACATTATATACTTTAACTTTACTAGCAGAATACTTGTCAGGTGGAATCACCTTGTTCCATCGCTCTGACCTGCGTGGCATTGACTGCTCCTGTGTTTTAACTCTCTCTTTCTTCATATCTTTTTCAGCTTCTCCTCCCTGAATGCTGACACCATATAAAGTATGTGATAGGGTTTTCCTTTCCACCAAGTACTTGCAAACTATCCAATAGTCGAAAAAATCTGGGCCCAAATACGTGGGTCCTTTCCTTATCGTATGCATAGTTAACCCAGTTACGGTGCAAATAGAGCTGCCTAAAACCTTGCGGAGGATTCATCTGGTATTTCATGTTAGTTTGCTGTAACCTGAGCGTATGTCCCCTTGTGTCCAGACCAAGAACCTCCTCCTGTCCCCATACTCATTGAAGGGGAACCGCATTTTGAGGTCAAAGAAATATTGGATTCGAGGAAACATCGTGGTAAGGTGCAGTACTTGGTGGCCTGGAAATGTTTCTCTTTAGCTCAGTCTGAATGGGTAAATGAGCGAGATGTTAGGGCTCCGAAGCAACTGCAATTGTTTTATTCCAAATATCCTGATAAACGTTAGTTCTGGAGCTGTACATATGTTTCTGTTTATGTAATTTTCTATTTTCCCATATTCTATTCTTCTTCTAGGATTAATGTCTCTTCTGCAGGAGGGCCGAATATCAGCCTCCGCCTTTATATTTCTTGCTTGCTCGGCTGCCATTGTAACAGAGGGAGGGGGGAGCTGTCTGGATATTTGGGAGGGGGGAAGTGAGCTGGTGGAGTAAATTGGAGAAAGTTTTCCTCAGCGTTTCTCTGCAGCTGGGAGGCGCGCTGATAACCAGGCAAAGTCAACCGTCGTGGCATACGAGAAGGATGGAGCCATCGGAAGCTGCACCCCACATGATCTCTTGGGGTGGATTGGATAATCCTGACTGGACCATTGGGGGGAGGATTTTAAGGATGTTTTCTAAATGTGATTTTCACGCCTATTGCCTCAGACTTTGCTTTTCTTTGGTTGCATTCAGTTCATATTCAGTAAAAGTAATTTTCTCTATGAAAATGGAGTCGGGGGTCCGGGGCTGGGGGGTTGGGGCTGGAGCCAGGCATTCAGAAGCTCTATGCTGGCCACACCAGTAGCACTTGATGGTCCTGGACGGTTTGGGCTGCAGCATTTTGGGTGGTTTAGCTGGGGTTCAGTGACCGAGCGGGTCTTCTTGTTGGTTTCTCTGCAATTGGCTTTCTATGGGGGTGGATCTCCAGATCCATGACCACTGCTGTGCTATACCATGCTTGTATATGTTCTGGGACTGCCCTGATGCCACAAGCTTGTCAGAAGTCTGGGTCAAAGGCCTCCTCAAAGTAGTGGACAAGGAGGTGCTCCGGCTAGTCTCTCAGCTTCCCGGCCAGTTTTTGGAAATCCCACACTAACTCTTTCGGAGGTTGGCCCGCTTACTTCAGCACTTTGATCTGGGCTTCGGCTTCCACTCGGTGGGCCATATCCTCGAACTGTCCTTGGAGCAGTTGGACGAATTTGTTTGCATCGTCTAGTTCGGGGGCTTCTTCATCATGTAGCTCTGCTATCCACTCCACTGTCTCTCCTTCATTCATACCATCTGCAATCACTGAAAGCAAGACTCGATCGGTTGGGTTATTGGTCCCCATAGCGATCAATGTGGACCCAGACTCAATTGAGGAAGTAGGCTAACTTTCCTGGGGTCCCATCAAAAGTCATTCTGAATCATGGAGGAAGAGCGGCTGGTGGGGCCGGCTGTGGGGCCGGCTGCGGGGCTGGCATGGGTTGTGGAGCCGATGTGGGCTGCTGGGCTGGTACCAGCGGCGGAGCCATGGCTGGCAGCTGGAGCTGCACCGGTTGCTGGGCTGGCACCAGCAGTGGGGCCATGACCGGTGGTTGGAATTGCACTGGTTGCTGGGCCAGCGCAGGCTTTAAAGCTGGAAAGGGCATCTATTGGTATTGCACCAATGCCTGGCTGGGGTAGAAGGCCCAGCCAGGGGGGATCTAGTCAGCTGGAGGCAGTCTGAGGGCTGGTTGCTGGGGTGGAGTATTTGGCCCTAACAGCCCCAGTTGTGGTCCTTGTACCACTGGACTGGGCTGGCTCAACAGACTCTGATACTGCACCATCCCAATCTCAGTAAGGGCTGTTGTCTCAGTAGATCGGTCCTGATGTGTGAGGTTGTGGAATGGTCCACTTTGTGCTGAATAGAAGGAGGCAGATGTTTCACTCAGAGCTGCTGTGGCTTCATGGCTCAGAAAGGTGAATGTGGGTTGAGCTAGCGCCCATCTGGACTGCCCAGTAGTGGGAGTCGAGCAACGCTACCCAAGCTGAGCTGGCTGAACTGCTCCAGGAGGCCCGGTAATGACTGGCTGCGCGATAGTGGCTGGAAGCCCCACTCTCAGGAATGCCTGAGTTCCATTGGTCCAATGCCTTCCATTCAAGGGCTTGGGTCTGCTCCGTTCCATTCAGTCCCATCTGCTAGCTCGGCAGCATTGCCCCAGTCATCATCTCCTAGGGTGGCACGACCCCCATGGCTTCACCCCACAGGGAAATATCTGCTTGAGAGGCTTGCTCAGGTTCCAGCTCTTTGGACCGGGCATCCAGCTGGCACCTCACTTCCGCTGCCCTCTTAGCCTCCACCACGGCTTCAGAAGGGGAATAGATGGTCTCGACATAGATCATCGAACCAGCTCCTGTGGTTCCCTCTGTGGCCGCTTTGTCTTCCTCCATCTTCCCTGAGTCTTCACACCACCCAGTATTGGGTCGACGTTTGGGGCTCAGAACCCTGGACAGCACCCCAAAGTTTGGGGAGCTGGTTGAAGTTTAAAGCAGATTTGGGTTAATGTTAGAGTTCCAAGTAACACCCCCAATGAAAGAAAACTCCGAGGCTCGAAGTTCCTCAAAGTTCTATTTTATTAGAGATGTCATATTGGCACATCTGGGAAAACCCGAATCTGAAAGCTTCCAGGTTTTCCCCACCCATAGAAAAGTCCCTGCCCAGCACCCACATGTCCATCACATGGCCCAATCAATGCACCATCCCAACTGGAGATGCCTTCCAGTCACACCCTTCCAGGTGCAGGGCAAGATGTCCTTGACTCTCAGAGAAAGGAATGTTACTATAACTATATATCTCCCCTGCTCCATACAATCCCTCCTCCCAGTTTCCCACAGCACTAAATGTGGCAGGCCTGAAGATCCATTGCAAAGATGGCTTCCAGGCCTGACAATATGATTGGCTTTAGTTTGAAGAATTTTTTTCTGTGAGGCTTCTTGAACTTGTTTATGGCCATGTCAATGAATTATGCAATAGTATGGTTTGATGGAGTCAATCAAAATAGTCAGTATTTTTCTTACCTCGTGTAGTGTCTGGATTTTTTTCCCCAGGGTCTCACAGACATGCTTATTCTTTGGTAGATGACAGATCTCAGCTTCATCTTTATTGCTCTGATTCTCTGCTTCTGTCCTGAAATTCATAGTTTCAGATGATGGTCAAAGAATGAAAAATATGCTTTCTTTCTAATCTAGTAAACTATAGTATTCTGGAAGTTTGGCCAAACTGTTTGGATCAGCATTGGTCCAACAACAACAAAGCCTGACAAGTTTGGTTATTCTATGTTTTAGTAGAAATAAAATATTTGTGAACTCTGTGTGATTTCATAGCATAAGTAGGGCATGGTTAGTGCGCATCATACTCTATTCTCTCTTCTGCATTGTCTCTATACAAGGCTGCCTCTTCTTTGCCACTGCCATTGCCACTGTTCCACTACCTATATGTCACTATTCTGCCCACCCCATCTTGTAACTTGCTACTTGCTTCTGGAGGTTCTGAAGGCCCTGGCTGAATCCCTGCCTCTGGCACCACATCTTCTCCAGCCTCCTCACTGTCTGACTCGAGCGCCAGCTGCACAGGCTGCTGGCGCAGCACCACACCAGCCTCCTCATTGTCGGAATCAGCTACAATCTGCACAGGCCGCTGACGGGCCACAACACTCAGCCATTGCCTCCATAGATGTATCAGCCTGTATATTTGTTCCTTACTGTGATTATTTCAGCAGTAAAAAATAGTCTTCAAGCATGGGCTATCCCAGTGATCAGCTTGGCTTCAGATTTTCCTAGGACCTTCCTTTCTCTCCCCCATTTCCCCTCAGTTGCTTTTGTTGATGTCCACATAGACTATAGCCAAGGAATCCCATTGGAAAGGAAATAACTACTGAAGGAGTATTGGTAGAATTCTGAACATGTCCTCCAGTCCATAGAGTCTATGTTTTGTCAGTCAGACAACAGGTGAGGTAACAATCAATAAGTCATGTCAGAAAATGACAGAAAGTGGCTGTGATTCACCCAACACTCTTTGGTACTGCTGTAACCTGTAACTCAAGATAAAAAGGAGAAACAAGGACAAGAATTCTTATCAATTTTGCCTTGACTCTTATATATCTGGTTGATGTCCTTACAGGTATGCCTGTAAGATGGGAGGCAAATTTGCAGGTTACTGAGACAAGGAAGAATACACTAGTAGAGGTAACAAAATAGGATTCCCAGGGTGGTTATGGTGATGGTTCCCAGAAGGAGGGCTTTCAGCCAATGAAAGTCTGGCAGCTAGGACAGAAGTTCTGTTAAGTCAAAAGGAAATTTATCATATCCGATGTTTTGTGCCAATTTTTTTAGACATTTGATCACTTTCTATGAGCTGTGAGTTTTGGTCAGGTTGAAGCAGCACATGCTTCCAAATTCTTTGGACGTGAAATGCTCCCGGTTCGGACCAGATCGCCCAATCCAGTAGCAATGGAGGCGGGTGGTTCGGAGAACCAGTAGCAAAAATCCCTGCCCCCCCACCATGCCCAGCTAAGCCGCACAATCATCAGAGGCTTTTTTTTAACTTTTAAAAGCATTTTTTCTACAACCTCTTCAGCTGAAAAAATGCTTTTAAAAGTAAAAAAAAAAGCCTCTGATGATTGCGTGGCTCAGCTGGGATCATCAAAGGCTTTTAAAAGAAAAAACCCTTTTTTTTCCTTTTAAATGCCTCTGATGTTCCAAGCTGAGTTGCCTGATCAGAGAGACTTTTTTTCTTTTAAATGCCTCTGACGATCAGGCAACTCAGCTTGGATCGGCAGAGGCATTTAAAAGAAAAAAAGTCTCTGCTGATCAGGCAACTCAGCTTGGATCGTCAGAGCCTTTTGAAAGCATTTTTTTACAACCTCTTCACCAAAGAGGTTGTAGAAAAAATGGTTTTAAAAGTAAAAAAAAAAAAAATTGGCCACGCCCACCCAGTCACATTACCTCCCCCACCAAGCCACGCCCACAGAACCGGTAGTAACAAATTTTAGATTTCACCACTGCTTTGTAGCCATGACTGTGTCTCAATAACAAGTAATCAATAGCTGCCCTATTTTTTAGGATCACTTCCTGAATCTGCCTCAGCACTCTGGTTAGTGCATCTAGGACTTGGGAAGTCGAATTGAGGTTTTTAGCCAGTGTGCAAGCTAAATTGTTGATATTTCTGGAGTTAAATACAGTGAGCCCTGGGACTCAAACTAATGAAAATGCCAGTGCAACATATTCTGCCATACTGGGGAACAGTTAATGAGTCACAATCAGGTGTTAAGAGTTGGAGATCTCTTTTCTGCCACCTCTTCAGTGAGGGCATGAGGATAGTTAGTCATCCAAGGTCACATAGTCCCCCTGTTGAATTGGCTCAGAGATATAGTGCCACAGAGCAAGAGTCATCCTAAGGAGAACTTTACATGAAAGGAGGTGAAGGGAATAGCCTCACTGTGATTGCAAGTTAAGATGGTTTTAGTAAGGTTGTGGCAAAACAGCACCTTGTGGACAGAGCAGTTTTCCATTACAAAGTATGAAGCTGCACAAGTTACAGTTGCTGTGTGTAATGTGAACATGGTTTTGTCTCTATTATCAGTGCTGGGTCCCCCAATCAAAAATGGTGGAATAGGTAGTAACAAGGTGGAAATCCCTAAATATGATATGGTTTTGGATGGAGCCTAGCTACCCCTACAAGGCAAATGGTTAAAATATCTTAACAGTTTTCCCTCCTGCCAGATAGAAGTCTGAGGTATTTAGGACTTTTCTCACCAGATATTCCCAGATATTTCCCTTGTCTGGGAGCAGGCTAAATTCCACAAACCCATCTAGTTGGCTAATTACAGAGAAGATAAGATTCACTATGAGTTTCCACCCTCCCCCCATAGTCTTCCCTGTTGTCTTCCATGGCTTCAAAGAAAGTCTCTAATCTTTAATCTCCACTCATCCATTTCAGAGTCTCTCTTAAGTTTGATTGGCAGAACCTTTGACATTGGACTTGGTTTGGTGCTGTGGTCGATTACAGCTGGTTTCAAACCAATACTAGATCAATGGATCTAGGAGTCCCTTTCATCTACTTTCATGGCTGGTCAGCAGGACTTGGAAGGGTCTGTTCAACTTTGATTGTAGCAGTGACTTTCAAGTAAATGACCAGATCCAAATCCTATCTCCTGGCTTGAATGGATGGAATGTCTAGAGACAGTGCCTGATTCCGCATACTTCACTTCCACAAGTCGTAAAGTTGTCTATGTGGGGCTGAAAGATATAAGGATAAGACCACCTCCCTACCTTTCTAAGCTGAGAGAATGTGGATCTAAACCTTTGAGGGTGTCTGGTGGCCAGCCAAAAAGCAATTCAAATGGGGAGCTACCTAAATCTTGTTGGGATCTAGTTCTGAGGTGGAATAGGGCAATGGGCAGGACTTGGGCCCTGCAAACATATCTCCTGCCAGAGCTTACTTAGTAGGTTCTTGAGTTCTCTATTAGCACATTCTACCCTCCTCCCCCCACTCCACCCCAAAGATGCTAGGTGATACAGGGCATGAAGTTTCTGGGTGATTCCTACTACTTGTAATACATGAGTGATAACTTGGGGCACAATTTTTTTTCCATGATCCATGTTTAGGGTGCTGGGGATTCCAACTTGGACACTATATCCTTTAAGAGATGTCAGGCTGCTTTGAGTGCTGTGGCATGGCAACAGGAAAAAGCCTCTACCCAGTGGATAAGTTGATCCAAGCACTCCAGGGCATACTGGTAGCTGCTAGTTCTGGGTGGTTGGATAAAATCCACCTGTAGCTTTTCTTTCTTTTCTTTTTTTTTGAAAAAAGTTTTTTATTTTATTTCTTATAAACATATTGTAAATGTACATTCTCTTATTCATAATTAGTCACACATATACATATATTTTCTAAAGAAAAAAAGATTTTTTAATTATATTCGGGGTTGCTCTTCTACCCTTTCTTCTCCCTTATTTAACAACAATCCTTCTTCTTCTTCTCTCTTTCCCTTCCCTGCCTTCTTCTATCCTTTTCTACTTTCTTCTTTCCTCCTCTCCTTCCTCTTCTCTCCTTCCCCTTCCTTCCCCCTTCCCCCTTCTCCCTTCTTTCCCACTTTCTAACCTTCTCTCCTACTCTTTTCCCCCTCCATTTATTCCTCTCCTTTTCCCTTTCTTCTGTTCCTCTCTCTCCTTCCCCCCCTCCTATCTTATCCTCTACTCCTCTCTCCATTCTCTCTCCTTTGTTGTCCAATATTTCCTCTATTGGTATCTGAGCAGCCCCAATTTTCTATTAATATATGCTTTCTTTTTAATTTATTTTCTATTTTACCAATTCCACATATATCATCATGACTGTACATTTATATAGTTACATTTTTTCCTTTCCCCGCTCCCCCTTTTCCATTTATACAAATGTCATCTGGGTTTCTATTTCTTTTTGTCTTCTCTTTCATTTACCTTTACATTGTCTAATTTATTCATCTGTCATCTTTTATTCATATTTCTTTTCTTTTTTTTTAAACAACCTTTATTAGGTACAAAAAGATAAAATATCACATCAACCACATACTGTACATTGTAAAATATGAAATAAAGGAAGATAAAAGAACAGCAAGAAAGAGAAAAAAAAGAGAGGGAAATAAAGGAGAGAAGGGAGCACAAAAGAGAAAAAAAAGAAAGAAGAAAGAAGAAAATACAATATACCGTATTTTCCGGCGTATAAGACGACTGGGCATATAAGACGACCCCTGACTTTTCCTGTTAAAATATAGGGTTTGGGCTATACTCACCGTATAAGACTACCCCTCTTCCAATGCACACCAACTAAAAATTAAAAAACATCAACTGGCTCACCCACAATGTAAAAGCAGCTGTGCTAGACCCAAAATGGCCCCTGCAACAAGCAGGAACCTCACACAGCCACAAAAAGCCCAAAAACCCAACTTACACACTTTACACACTCAAAATTCCACATACAGCTTTGTGAGATTTTGTGTGTTTGTGTAGTTAGAGTGAAACACTACAGAAACACACTAAATCTCAGAAAGCTGCACAAATATTATTTTATTTTATTTTTATATGAAAACTAAATTTAAAATGTCCTAAACTTTAAATGGCTAGGTCTAAAAAAGAACAACTAAAAAAAAA